GATTGTGTTCATCAAAATATGGAATTTGTGTTACCGAGATAAGGAGAACTTCTAAAACGGCTCCATACTGCCCCAGAGGCTGTAGGTTTTCTCCGCCATCTCCGTGCTCCGTGTCCTCCCTCTGGAGTCCTCGAGGGGTCTGCGAGAGCTTGCTCCTATTCCTTTACTGTGGAAGTAGTGACAGAGTAACAGGAACTTTGGGTGCTTATGAACCTAAGAGGATGTGTGTGCCCTCTCACCGTGCCCCAAGAGCATTCTGAGAACACCCCTTTTGCAGTTAAAAGTTGTCAGTGTAACATTTGAGGAGATGCTCTGGGTCAAGGAGCCAAACACATTTCCGCGGTAGCCCCAAGAACGGATTGTGACAATGGTTTAAAGGCACCTTGGGTCAGGATCGAGGTCCCCGAGCATGGTGCACGTCACATCCATGGATGTGCAAGTAATTTTAAGGTTTGGTTATTTTCCGTTAGTAAATATCCAGCTAAACTTGAGTTAAATACCCTCTAAATAAGTCAAATAGACAGAGGCTTTGAATGGGGGAATTAATTACAGCTGGTGTCCTAAGGAAACGAATCCCACTGTGGCACGGAGAATGTAATTAATGGGAGGTGAGTGCCAACAAATCACTCCTTAAAATATTAATGCTATCAAAGAACAGCTGGGTAATGAGAGAAACTTGACCCTTGGGGGACTAGCCAGGGTTGTTGTAGCTGCTACAGAGCTTTATGCAGTTGTGATGTAATGGAATTCCTCTCAATTTAACAAAAATAATATTAAGAGGTGTGGTTCTGGGAAAGTTATTAGCCGTAAACATGTCTTTGTAGTTTTATCATCTTATTATAATCGCTATGTCTCACTTTTGCTGTGGTTCTAAATGACTTGCCCTCTTAATTGCTCAGGATATATATAATCCAAACAACACTCCTAAAAGGCAACTTTAAAAAAGCCCTTTGAGTCTGGCAAGAACTTTTTTTTTTTTTTGTAAATAAAAACACAGTATCTAAGTAATTTCTGCAAAACAATTTCCATATGCTTAATTTTAATTTTTAAGTCAAGAAAAGCTGTCCCATTGTTTGTGGATAAAAGCCTGAACTTAATTTGGTTTTACTTTACAGCTTATTATTGTCCCCAGAAATATCTAAGTGAGCAACGGAGTTGAAATATGTATTTACACAGTCTACTGAACATCTGAAACGTTGGGCATTATTTTTACATTTGCATGACTAAATGCTCATCCTGACGCCCCAAATCAGAAGCCAGAAGTAATTCTCTGCTTGGGGTACACTTTAACCTAGATTTTAAAAGAGAAACCGTTTCCTTCAGATACATTCAGCTTCTCTGAACCGACTGGGACCATCGGGAAGCCGCAGGCTGGCGAAAGCTTTTGACCGCACAGTTTTATTTCTGGTCACAGCAAACTTTGTGTCTTTTGTTTCACTTAACTTGCCAACATCGAAATCAGGGACGCGGGCACTCAGCGCGTTTGGCGATCAGGCCGAGATGCGGGACACGTTCACGGAGGGGAGGCTGGGGAGGCGCGGGGCTCGGGCGCGGGGCAGGGAGGGCCCGGCTCAGCCCCGCTGCGCGCAACGCGCTTCACAGGCGCTCGCGCCGCGCAAGGAGCGGTGCCCCTGAAACGGCACCCAGGGGACACATCATTTAAATAAATGTGTTTCTTTGCCCCAACAGAAGTTCAGATCTGCTCAATTATCATTAATTTTGTTCTTTGATTTCCTCCGCGGGCGTGAACGGAGAAGTCGTGCTCTTTGAGGTTTTGCGAGCTGCCCTCGGCGGGGGGAGGTGACCCGCGGTTCTTCCCCCAGCGGGCGCTGGGTGAGGGCGGGGGGCCGCAAGTGTGTGTGTGTGTGTGTGTGTGTGTGTGTTGGTGAAAACGTGGTCAGGGGGCTGGGGGGAAGAGCGCAAGTGTGTGTGTGTGTGGGTGGAAACGTGGCGGCTCGCCTAAGGGGAAAAAAGTAGAAACTTAGGTGGAAAGCTCAGTGCACGTGCTGGCGGCCCCTAAAAGTCATGTTCTCCGCCCAGAATCCTTGGAACAGGTGCCCTAGGACCGAGTCCCGAGGCGCGCACCAGGCGGCGGAGCTCCGACGGACCTCGGCCGCGCGGCCGCTGCTGCTATAGCCATAAAAAGCGAAACCCCGCGTCTCCGCCCGCGCGCCCACGCGCGTGCATGGGCGCGGAAACCCGGCAGCCCCCGTCTTCATTCTGCGCAATTTTCTGAGCTGAGGGAGAGTTGGGGTGCGTGGGGGCGAGGGTCTGGTTTAGAGTCGAGTCGTGGGGAGCGCAGTGGGTCGGGGTCGCCCCGGGAAGGCGGGGGATGGAGCGCGAACCATAAGGCTCGAAGGACGGGGCCCACGCAGCGCCCGCGGTGATTAGC